TTTTTTATTCTCCGGCCTCCTAGAATTAGAAATAGGTACTATTTCATTAATAAAAATTTGATCTTCCTAACCTCATTTTCAATTAAGTCAACTTAAGCCCTTTTTCTTTTAAACAGAAAATTACATAAAAATCCATCAACTGCATAGCACACAAATTTTGAAATAAATACACTTGAGGAAAGTTTTACTAACCTTCTTTTATTTTTTTTCTACCCAAACAGACGCCGCCAACATCGCTTGGAGCAGGAGCAAGCCGATTTGGAGTATGAGATACGCGTGCTGATGGCGCAACCCGAACGCAATAAAACCGACTCGGATAAAGCGCGTGAAGAAACACTCATAGCACGCTTAGTAGAGGTGGTACAGTTGCGTAATGAGGTCGTGGAATGTCTGGAAATGGATCGACTGCGCGAAGCCGAGGAAGATTTGGTAAGTTTTGTAACTAACCGTCTTCAGTAATTTTATACTAAACTAATTTTAAGTCATATACAGCGATTTAAAGAAAATGTGTTTAAAAATTGGATTGCAGTGTTTTTGTAATGCTGTCTCTTATACACATCTAGATGTGTATAAGAGACAGGAGTTATTTTTTTATATTAGGCATTAGCTTGTACCGATTTCGAAAATTTAGAAAATATATGCAAATGTAAGTTGATTTAAATGAATATACATATATTTTTTATTTAATAATTTTATTTAAACTTTAGTTTTTTGAATTTCCAAATTTAGTATCCATCACAACTTACAAACTTTTCTATTATTATAGTTTGTTAAATCCTTTTTTTAATTAGGTGGCAACTCTTTGGCTTTAAAACTTTATTAAAATATAGTATTTTAAAATTTAAACCCCAACTTAAATTTTTTTTCTATTATTAAGTCCAACATATTTTTAATTAGGTGGCAGCTTTAGATTTGAAATTTTATTTGAACTTAGGTTTGCTTGGTTTAATATTTACCACAACATTTTTTTCTATTATTAAGTTCTATCCAACTGTTTTTTAATTAGGTGGCAGCTTCATAAACCTTTTAGATTTTAAATTTTATTAAAATGTAGTATTTTGAAATTAAAAATTTATACCCACCACAACTTAAAAATTTTTTGAATTATTAAGTTTTTTCCACTTTTTTTTAATAAGGTGGCAGCTTCATAAACTCTTTATATTTTAAAATTTATTTAAACTAAATTTTTAAAGTTGAAAATTTAACATTCACAATAACTTACAAATTTTTCTATTGTTAGTATATTTTATCAGAAGTTATTTTTAATTAGGTGGCAACTCTAAAAATTTTTTGTGCTGTGTTTCAAATTATTTCCCTGCATATTTTTACAAAAAATATATAAATATTTTTAATTTTAATTCAATAAATATGGCAACCTCTTTAACTATAATTCTCAACGTTTCTAAAAATTGTTTCTATTTTAAAAGCTTTCAACTTACAATTGCAAAAATCTTGGAATTTTTATTTCATAATTTCTGCAACATTTTGTACCACCCTAATTTTGAAATTGTATGCTTATATTTCTAGTTATTAACTAAAATTTTATAATCTCTTCCACAGAGTATTAAACAGCGCTTAGAACTGCATACCGCGCAGCGTGAAGAAGACACCGACTCGCGAAAAATCACAACCAAACTTTCCAAAAAGGAAAAGAAGAAGCAGAAGGAGTCGAAAAAGCTGAGCAAAAGCAAGAAAATAGATGCGGACAAGGTTTGTGAAATAAACTACTTTATGGCTTCAATCCAGTTATGTAATAGTAATATATTTTTTTTTTATTAAAGGACGCTGATGAATCCGAACTAAATATGGATAAGCAGAAATTGAAGAAGAAAAAGAAGAAATTTCTCTTTTAAACCCCGACTGAGAGGTGATCCCGGCCGTTGAATTAAGCGTATGACTTGCAGCCGCCTTGTGATAATACTATGACAAAATTTTTTTCGAAAAAAAAACTGATTTACTTGCGCTAAAATGCTAATTTCAAATAAATTCAAAGCACTCAACAAGCAACGTGCATAAAAAAGCGACTAGAGAAGTGTCTTCACGCTCGCACATCCAAGAATTGAATTCCATGCTCGTAATATTTATTTAACTTTCAATATTTTTTTCAAACATTCATTGGCTTTAATTAAATTATAAATGAGATGATGAATTATTTTCAAATTTTATTTTTGTATTTATTCCTAACATGAAATCTCAGCGTTTGCACTTTTAAAGGCCTGTCTTTAATTAATTATTATTATTTTTTAATACAAAGAAATGAAATATGGATTACTAAGCAAAACTATTTTTAAAACTTACACATTTACACACATACATACATATATACACACACAGTGTTACTTGCGTAATGTTAATTAAATCTAAGCTTACTTATACATATACATATATATATTAAACAAATATTTTGCATGTATTATACTGTTAAATTAAACTAAACATAAAAACATACAAACACACACTGACTTGCATTTTCTTTTCTACACTTATTTGTTAGTTTTATTGTTGTTGTTTTACATTATTTTTATCAAATGGTCACATCACTAAAATGTAAAATAAGTCATAAAATTTAAGGAGTTGGCAAATAGTTGGTGATTCAACAAGTTTTGAAGCCTCTCTGTATATGTATGTGCACATACACACATACTTATGCACATTATATTGAAAGAAGTGTCAATTACAGTTAGCCTCAATGCGCATGTGTGCCGCTCATTAATCGGTTTACCATGTAATGTTATATTACATAAAGCACTTACAAACATATTGATACCTACATTCAAACATATGTATAGTATATCTACATACATACATATACGCCAATCAATTAATAAAGAATATATTTTATGTTACCAAATAAATATATTTCTATTTTATTGTAAACTTACATCAATGGGATGGTATAAAATATGTCATCTCGGAATATTACGCTGATTTTTGTAACTGTATCGTATTGGGAGTTGGGGAGTTGGAGTGTCTTTTGTTTAGCTAAGTTAAGTTAAAGTGTGAACAGTTTAGAAAAAGTAATTATTGTGTGTAATCCTTTTTTATTGCTGTAGCTAGGTTCTTCACTCCCTGATCTCTCTAACGTAGTCGAGGTCTTCCTCTTCCTCAGCTTCCTCCGGCGGATTCTGCGTCGCGTCTATTATTTGGTAGAGTTTATTGTTTCACTGACTGCGGTATTCGTCGTTGGCAATGTCCAAAAGACCATAACTCTTCCGCAGAACATTTCTCTCGAAAACTAGTAAAGCCGACTCATAAGATGATGTTCGCGTCCAAGCCTCTGCACCATATAGCAGAACGCGCATGATGAGTGACTTGTAGAGGTTGGTCTTTATTCATCGAGAGAGGACTTTACTTCGCAATTGTTGGTAAGTTATTTTGCTTTGGATTTCGTGGGTGACATTGTTGTTGGTGTAAATGTTGGTTCCAAGATAGACGAAATTATCTACAACTTCGAATTTATGACAGATAGGGAGCCTTGTCTGAAACCTCGTTTGGTATCGAACGTCTCGGAGAGGTACTTCCTGATCCCGACGGAGCGTTTGGTATTGCTCAGCGTCAGTTTACACAGCCGTCTTAGTTTTAGTAGTTGTAAATTTAATTTTAGTTGTCAAAAGCAGCTTTAAAAGCGATGAAGAGGTGGTGTGTGTCGATCTTCTTTACACGGGTCTTTTCCATGAATTAGTGTATGATGAATATCTTTAATCCTTCACATAATACGTTCGATAAAACCTTATATGTGATATGGTAGGGTCTTCCTTTTTTGGATTGTGTAGAGCACACTTAATTTCCAATCGTCGGGAGTGAAGCTGATGCATGCTCCTTATTAGTTCTTTGCCGCCGTATTTGAATAGCTCCGTCTGTAGTCCATTGGCTCCGCCCCTTAGTTGTTCTTCAGACGGTAGCTCTTCGTACTCACGCATTTCGTCTACTCTCTTTTTTTGTTTGCAAATGCGTCCCGCTTCCCTCTTCAACTCTCGTTATCTATCCCATCTCGCACATATTGCGGTCGATTGTAACGTTTTCTCTCCGCTGCAACACGGCACTCGTCGTCGTACCAGCTGTTCTTTTGCATTTTCCGAAAACCTATAGTTTCGGTTGCAGCTGTACGTAAGGAGCTTCAAATGCCGTTCCTCAGTTCCCTAATACCGAGTTGTTAACGAGTGCTCTCAGAGAGCAGGAGTGCAAGTCGAGTAGAAAATAGTTCGGTTATCTGTTGTGATTGCAGCTTCTCGACGTCGAACCTTATTTGTCTTTGTTGGCGTGCGTTTTTTGCTACACAGGGGCAGGGTTGTGTCTTGGCTACAACGAGATACATAGTGGTCCGAGTCTATTACAATAAGATCGATCTGGTTGGTGGCTCTACGGACCAACGATAATCTATCTTGGAATCTAGTACTATAGATAAGCATATTTCGGGCCCCGGCGAAGTCGATAAGCCTCAACCCATTTGGGGATGTTTCATCGTGGAGGCTGAATTTACCGACTGTTGTGCCAGAATTATCTTCTTTTCCCACCCTGATGATTTTGACAGGGAGATAATGTTTCGATTTCTCAGTCTAGCTTGCCTTTAAAAGGATGTTTTTTGGATACCTAGAGGATATTTTTCACCAATAATCACCATTCTGGAGATAAAAGAGGTTTGTGGAATGCATCCTTTTGGTAGCTCTAACGTTTCGGATGATCTATTGAACTCTATGCGCTTCCATGCCTTCATGCAATGTCTTTAATATTCGCGGTGAATCATCATTCGTTTTCCCATTGGTAAACTCGGTTTGCTGGAGAGTCTTACAATGATATAGTGACCGGTTACTCCTACTGGGTTTCGCAGGTCATTCGTATTAGGATTGTAAGACACAATAATCGTACAAGGAATTTGTTCTAAAAGCTATTAAAGTGTGAGCTTTCCTGTTTCTTAAAAATCACTCAAAGACTCAATGTTGTCACTTTCGTAGCACTTATTTGAGGGAAGAATACTTGTTGTTAGTCTTCGACTTTCAATATTTTTTCCTTGACGTTGTGGTTTCATTTTTAATATTTTTTATTATAATTTTGAAAAGAAGCTGAATATTTTTTTTAATCAGAAAAACATAATAAAAAGTGTCTGGTGTACAAATTTAGCGTAAACTGAGACTTTACTACACGAAGCGACTGAATCTAGCCGAAGTGTCCCAAAATTCATGAGTGTCAACTAAATTTATTGTTTATGTAAAATTTTGCAAATCAGAATTAAGAAATTTTTTTATTTACGAAAGAAAAAAACGAGCAAGCTGTTAAAAGAGAACGAAGAAAGGTGCGATAACGAAAGGCATAAACACTTTCACGATTAACACTGACAGTTAGGCAACGCAAAGATGTCCTATCAAATAAAATCGACACCATTTTTTCGACGCATGGTTAGCACCAGTAAAAAGAATGGCCAGCTGCAACGTTTAAAAGAGGAATACGAGCGCATCAAAGACTTCAATGATCGCACGATTGAAATGAAGATGCGACAGGTGCGTCTGAAGCGACTCTTTCGCGAAATCGAAGAGATCAAAGAGACATCATCACAATGGAAACGACGACGTGTGACGGCCATGGATCGTCTACGTACGAACGAGGAGATACGCGTCGAGACCTTGGTGAAGGCTAAGGAGCTGGGCAAAGAGTATTCGAAAATGAATGCGTTGGTCGATCGCTGTTCGTCGCGTCTCGATGCTGTGGCATCGGGTGCCGCCGTCGGCAGTATGTCATCGCGCATAGAATTGGAACGTAAAGCGCGTTCGGATAAACGCATCAGTTACGGCAACGATCGTTCACGTATGAATATACAAAAAATCTCAACAAGTCAACGTAAATCCAATGTGAAGATCGTTATTAGCGCGGAACAAGAACTCAAGGAGTTGAAAGATAGACTCAAGACTCGTCTTCAATTCGGTAATTCGTGTTCCAGTCGCAATCTATCTAGAAAACTTAAGAAAGATGGTCACCGCAAGGCCTCAGAAGGTAAATCTTTAATCGAGTTTGGCAAACCAACGGAGCACGAGACATTGCAATGCAAGTTCACACGTGATGCTGGCGGCCTGGATATGCCATCGATGGCATTTAACGACACATCGCGTCCTACTAAGACCTTTGAGGATATGCATACGAGTCGAGCGGTTGGCGGCATGTCGGATATGTCGTCCAAAAACGATGAGGATCGACGCATACGTGCGCGACAACGTTGGCGCAAGGTAGCGTTACTCGTACGTCATCGTTTCGATACGTTCTTACGACGTAATGCGCCACCGCCATTACGTGAAAACAGTGACACCGGTTCGGAAGAATATTCGTTGCGCGCCATATCGAATGACACCGATTTACCGCTCAGTCAGTTGCGCAACAAAGCTTCACCACCGAATTCTGAAGCCGAGCTTCAACCCGGTGAGGTGCTACTAAGCGTTGAATCGCTCGATCCAATAGAGTCGCAATCGCTGCCCGATCCTGGTTCACTGACAGCAGGCAATTCATTGTGTGACGAGTCTAGCAATGCAACGGAAGACCGTCGTAAAGTGCAGACGTATGTGAAACTACTGGAACCGTTTCTACGCGATGCCGGTAAGAAGGCTGTAGAGCTTAGCGTTGAGGAGCTCCGTAGCATTTTCGAACATCGCAGCGCCGAGTAGCTGAACTTCGGACGTCGCGCTCCACATATTTTGTGCAGAATGAAATCAGTCCACAAAAGTATATGATCATCTATTGTTACACCCGTAAAGAACGTGCGTTCATTTTGTTTCGATGGCGTAAATCTTAACTTTTCGCTTTTCAAATAAAACTTCTGTGCTCTCACAATTTGGCACATGCCCTCTCATTCCTGGTTTATTGTGCTAAGTTACAATGTTAGTGCATTTGAATTTAGTGCTATTTTCTCAACAAGTGTTCAGCTAGACATGCCGTCGTCGTTCATTGCAAATAGACTCAGTCCAATTGGCTCCCATTGTACCGTAGCACACAGTTCATCACAAATTTTAGTTTGCAATAAAAATTAAAAATTAGAAATGTGTATTCATTTAATTAAGTTTAGCGGAAATGTAAGTAAAAAATTAGATGGAGCAAGTTGTGGAAGACTATAGACGATCTTATAGACTTATACTTAAGATTACCAACCCTTTGACTAGCTCTTTGACAATTACGGACTATTTAAGAAACCCGTGTCTGTAAAAGAAAGTATAGAGTATACATATGTACCAAATCCTCAAAGTATCTTCATTATTGGTGTAAACAACGCTTATGCGGCAATAGCCTAGTTAACAGCAGCGGACCAATCGTTGCTTTTTTCGCAATGTGGCTCCAATCGGAGATTCCAACCGAAGCCATGTCCTTCCCCAATTGGGCTTTCCTCTACTGGAGTATTTTCGTCTGCTTGGACGACATGGCCTACCTAGCGTAGCGTAATCGTTACGTCGACTCATCAGATGTCATCGTCCAAGCCTCTGCACTGTATAGCATGACGGAAATAATGAGTGACTTGTAGATTTTGGTCTTGGACTTCTCAATTGAGTTCAAAGCGGAACTAACTGCGCGGATGTTGAAGCCGATGGTATCAATGTCATCGGCGTCAGCAGCTGTACACTCTTATGCAGATTGTACCTTCTCTATTCACATCTGCACCTCGAATTATATTATCCAAGAGTAGATTGAAGAAGGCGTAGGATAAGGAGTCACCTTGTCCGAAACCACTTTCGGTATCGAATGGCTCAGAGAGGTCCGTCCCCATCTTGACGGAGCTTTTGGTATTGAACAATACAGTTTACACAGCCGTATTAAAATGCCAATTTCAGACATAGTGGTATAAAGGCAGCTCCTTTTTGTTCTGTCAAAAGCAGCTTGGAAATCGACGAAAAGGTGGTGTGGTGAATATCTGGTGAGTTGCTGATTTTCCAGGCCAATAGAACCTTATACATACGTATGTCATGTTGAGAAGGCTTACCCCACGGTAGTTAGAGCAGTTTGTGGGGTTTCCCTTTTTGGGGACTGAGCAGAACACACTTAAATTCCAATCGTCGGGCATATTTTCGTCCTACCATATTCTATAAAGAAGCTGATACATGCTCCTTATCAGTCCTTCGCTGCCGCATGTGAATAGTTCGGCCGGAAATCAATCAGTAGTTCACTTCGACTACTGTTGGAAATGGCAAAAAATCACGGTAAATGCGAAAATTTCTAAACATTCAATTTATCCTCAAGGATTGTTAGTATAATAAAAGCTTTCGCAATTTTTTTTACCAAAAACATTTTATTACATCGTACATACATAGGTATTTATAAAAAGGCACAGAATTTGTAGCACAGCTTTGATCCGTTCCTCACAAGCTTGAGCGCTTATGAACTTTGTTCGTTGAAGAGCACACCATAAGTCTCTGCGATACTCTTACAGGCAGTGTTCGAAACTTTGTGTTGTCTTAGAAGCAGCGACATCTATCCACTGGACACACGGAACCGTGATTCAGGCATTCATCCATGCAATAAGTGTCCGCACCTTCCCGTCCCTCTAATTCACCGATCGCCACACAATCCTTACTGTAATTATAATAGTTTAATATATATATATATAAATTTTTAATTTTCGTTGCAGAAAACTTACTAAATTACTATATTGAACCCAAAACCGTTTTAAGCTTAGCTTATGTTAGGAGCAACATGCATACACTTTAACTTATTGAGTTATTTCGCGGAATACAAGGTACTGTTTATGAGGGACTTATTTTAAATGTAGGAAAAGGATGAACTTATTTTTTCTATCCAAATGACATTACCATAAGTGCAACATTTTCATCTAATTTCATTAAGTAAGCTCAAACAGTGAACGAAGTGTAAGGAATGGCTATTTTCATAATCACCGGTATCGGTATGCGCCGATTTCTTCCATATTTGGTGCCAAATACCAACAAATTAAGCGCATAATATCGACCTATTAGCACGATGAGCTGATCCTCACTTTCGGTTTCAGGAGTCTATGGGATATTATAGACCCACATAAAGGATTTTCTTAAAGAATTATCAGGCAGTAACTTAAAATATTCATTTCGACCAAAAAATGGAATTAATTCACGAACATTTATTGCGTTTATTTTTTAGAACTTTCGAAGTTGATTAACTCAGCAATAGTGATTCGATGAACTTAAAAACCAGTTGTACTTGGTATGATGAATTCAATCGAGGTTGCAGATGACTTCAAGACGAATTCCGAGAAAGTCGTGTAAAATCAGTTGTAGTTCCGTGAACTTTTAAGACTATGCGCAAACTGATATTGCATGATCGTCATGTGATCTATCGTGAGAATGAGGCAACTGTAGGCATTGGAGGGATAGTGGAACCCGCACAAATTTAAAAATGCATAAACATTTGATTTTGATATTTTGAAAAAAATTTGCTCACGTAGGTTCCCACACAATGTGTCGGTTCGTTGAGAGCAATATTAAAAAAATACGTCTGTGGTGCTTCGAAACATATTTACGACATCCTTACAAGTGATGAATCGTGGACTTACGTTTATGATGCCGAAAGTAAACAGCAGTCGCCTATATGGACCTTTCAAGATAATCCTAATCCAACAAAAGTTGCTCGCGCAGGAAGCACTTTCAGCAAGTTGTTGCCTGTTTTTTTTTTTTTACAAAAACTGGACATATCGAAAGCATACTACGAAAACAAAGCAGAACCTTAAGAAAACCAACCACCGAAGAAGACAGATCTCTCTTAACCACGACACTTCGAGTTATCACACATAGACTGAAATAACCGCGATTTCATTATCCGATCTCAATTTCACTCGTTATTTGAAAAACAAATTAAAATATTCGGTGTTACATGTTGCGGAGCAAAAAAAAAAAAAAAAAAAAAAAAAAAAAAAAAAAAAAAAAAAAAAAAAAAAAAAAAAAAAAAAAAATTATATAGAATTTATAAGAATTATTATGGGGTAGGTTAAAAAATTATTTAAATAGATTTTTGGAAAGTAGATTCAAATCAAATCCAGATAATATAAATAAATATACTGATTTGTTCGCAACATTTTCAAAAACAAAATAAAGAACCCGAAAGCCAATAAAAGATCGAAAAAGTAGCACTAAATAAAATAAAATTAGTTCAGTATAGAGTTTGAAATATGTTAGTTAAAATCAATCAATAATGTAGTAAATATATGATATATATTTTCACTTACGGACAATGACATGCGGATTCCGGACAGTTGGGTGGATAACGCAAGCAGTTCGTCTCACACCAATTATCCATACCGGGAATGGTACGGAATGCTGGCGCGGCAATACATTTTTGGTCACTGCAAAGAGAAGAAGTAAAAACAAAGATTGGTTAGTATATATATGTAAGTAATGTTACCGGAGGTATTTATTATATTCTAAGAGTTTTATATATGAACAGGTCGACTGGTAATTATTTGAAGTCTATTTGCCTTATACCAGTTATTTATTACTCTCTAAGTATTAGCGAGATTAGCTTATAATTTCTCCTAATACTACTGGTTAAAGACGTCCACTGAGCCATATCATATAAATGGTGGAACTAAAAACTAGTAATGAAGCTGTATCGATAACTAGCTGGTAGAGGAGTTAAGTCCCGTATTATACGAAGCAAATGGTCGCGATCTGCAATCTCAGATGATTAAGTTACAAGACAGTGGGAGAATAAATAAGAAGTTTCTACGTTCTTTGTGATTTTAAACCCATTGGAAATATATATTTTAAAACATGTTATTCGCGATAAGGCATATTACTACCGACATAAATGTGAATGCTCCGAAGAAGATATTTTTAGCAGGAATAAAAGTGACTTTTAAATCAAGAACGAGCAATCTGAATAAAGTCCTATCTATCGAAAATAGCTGCTAGACTTGGAATCTTTCGATAAGTGAGGAGGAGCATGGAAAATCGTCAGATTTCTGAGTCTAGTAGCTAGTTCAGGTAGATTTGATATTATTCAGTTTGCTCGTTTTTTGGTGCGATTTTATTTGATTAACAGTCAATCGTTAAAGTAGCTAAAGACTGATAACTGAGAAAGTTGTAAATTTGATTTTTGCAAATAAAACTAAATCACATAGCTTAAATGTTCTTAAGATAAGCCGCTTAAATCAAAATTTTGAAGTACGTTTTCAGAAAGTAAGTCATCTAAAAATATTAGAAAGTATTGTTAGTTCTATTTTCTATGCCTAGAATGATATTATAGGATTCAGTTTGTCCCGCAAAACCTGAGCTCTATGAATACTTTCGTTTTACTTCAGCTTCAGATCCACCAAACTGGAACCGAAGTTGCTAGAATTAGATCTAATTAAGAATATATTGGTAGAGGATCCAGAATTGAGTTGGCTGAATTGAAGTTGGATAAGTGTGGGATCCAGACCTCATTCCACCAACTTCTGTTCCAGTTTCGGAGAACTAAAACTAAAGCATTTATAGAGCAATAAGAGGACTGGATAAGTATTGCCACCATCATTTTACATCTTTAAAATCAACTCATTATTGTAAGTTGCAACCCTAACTACAGCGATTCAAAATAAAAATATTTTTCTTTCTTTTCATTTTGAAAATATCTACGGCATTAGTTTCTTTTTTTTTCAAATCTATTTTCATATTTATTATTTTTGTTCGTAAGTTTTCCAATTGTTCCAAATTGACCGCTTTAAAATTCTGAGTCCTAAACAAACAATGTTTGTGCGCGCAAAAAACGAAAAAATATCTTCAAAACCGGTAAGTCACAACCACATTTGTTCCGTTATTTATTTATAAGCATAGAAATTTGAAAACTTCAAAATTTTCCATTAGCAAACCCAAAATGCGTTCCAAAAATCGTTCAAAAAATGTTTTCAGAAAGTAGACATTAGAAAAGTGCTCATGATTGAAAAAATTGTGAATGTGAAATCAAAAAAAAAAAAGCAAAATTTTTGAAAATACTATATTAAAACAAATAATTGAAAAATATAAAAAACTTGCTTACAAAAAAAATAATTTTTATTTTTGTTTTTTCAAAAAATAAATAGACGGAGTATCAAAGCGAATGGACAATGCCGAACGTGGTGAATAAAGCCAAACCGAGCCTATTGATGAAAATGGAAAAAGAAAATGAGAACAAGGATTTGCGGCGAAAGTTGAAGAGTCTCAATAAAGGTGAGTAAGCAAGTTTGTTGACAACGATTTCCACCACCCGAACTTAGTACTGATTTCAAGTGACTGCAGTAACCTTTCGTTCGCTCTCAGAGCGGTCACCAGGACTGGCGAACAAAGAAACTGTCTGGGATCGTTTGAGCCGCGTCAAGAAGAGCGCTAGTAATGAGGGCAATTTCCTGTTAGGCTCCAAAAGCCGCACGCTAATACCGACAGCGAAGAGTACACAACGCCTACAACAGCAACAACGCGCGGCGTCGCAACGTGCAAATAAAAAACCCTTAACGCCGAACACAAATCTCAACAAACGCGTAACGGAGAAGAAATCTGTTCGAAGAATCAAGAGCAAAGCAACGTATTTACATGATTTCGATTTGGATGAGAACGCTTTTAATTGTAAGCGCATTAAGGAGATACTAACAGCGCGCAGTATTTGCAATTCGAAGACTTCTTCGGAGGAATGCTCGCTGAAGCAGGTGTCGGCGCGTTCGGAGAACGTTAATTGCTTGCTGAATGATCAGCTCAACACCGACTATGATTTCGAGGACTCCGAAATGGAGAAGCAAATAGAATCACAGGATTCTTTGGATGATTTTGTGATTGCGCCACTGATGGCAGTGCCCACCACAGATTCGTTGAATATGAGCGCGACAATTTCGTCGAATTTCCGTTGTCTACTGGACTGTAGACAGAAAAATATGGCGCCCGATGAGATAGCCACGATAAAGAATGTGGTGAAAACGGATGAGCGACATCGTCAACTGCAGCCTAACGACTCCATACTTTTCAAAGAGATACTCAAAACACAGTTGAAGGAGATCATACGTCAGGAGACGGTTGTGAAGTCGGCGTTGCATAATCTAAACGATCATCCGGTGGTGAGTTCACCAACGACTGTAGCCATACACAAGCCAGTTATAACGCTGGATGTGGAGCCCAAAAAACAACAGGTCGATGTGATATTCAAGAATGTGCCCACACTTGAGAAAGAGATCATCATTTTGAAGGCGTTGGGTGAGAAATTAGAAGCCACCTTGAAGCGCACCGTCTCACAGGGTGATATCAAGCTGCAGGAACTGAATAAGCTTGCCACAACGCTCGAAACAAAGTGGCACGTCAGTCACCCCGATAATTTCCAATATGCCTGCAAAGAGTTTCTCTCGATGGGTGTGCGTCGTTGCATCGGCATTGTGCAGGAGTTTCGCATGGAGCACAAGACTATTGTGGAGCTTAAAGAGCAAGCTAGTCATCACTTTTATCTACCCTCCAACAAAGACAGCACCGAACTGAAGCGCACTTCCTTTAAGCGTCTCAAGGAGAACCCCGATTTACTGATGCGTTACCTGAAACCGAAGAGCACACTCGTGCCGTTCAATGTGCTGGAGCAGGACCCCTGTTTCTTCAATAGTTTCCTTTATAGTCCCTGTGTTATAGGCAGTTTGGAGGGCTCGGTGTCACAACAAAAAGATTTGCGCACTGCAGAGCCTGTACCGAAGACATCTTCAAAGGAAGCTGGCGATAGCGCTCGTAGCGCACGTGTACCTTACAAGTATGAGAAGGAGCCATTGAAGATCGAGGAGATACAGTGTACGTTAAATGATGCGCTCTACAATGCACAACAACAGCGTCCGGAAGGGTCAGTAGTGGCGGCAGAAATTTCCACGACTTTAGAGGAAAGAGCGGTGAACACCTCACGCATACGCATATGTTTGTGTGAAGCACCGATACGTGGACATAAACGTCGACGCATACGTCGGCATCATACGCCATTGTCACCGGCGAGTAACCCGGATCCGAAGAATAACATTTTCAAGACCATACTCGTGGGCAGCGTACAAATATCCGTGTTTCTTCTACTCATCATGGCCATTACATATCCGGATGTCAGATGTTGAGGTGCTGGGGAGTTAGCTGCCTGTAGCAATCAAGCGCATTTATCATTTCTCTCTTGCTATCTCGTTCTCGTAGTACTAGTGAATTCTTTATTTGTATTGCTTAGTTAGTGCTTTTCGCTCGTTTGTTCGTATTTTTACATGTATTTCGAAATAATTCTGCTCGGATAAGATGTAAGTAGTTCAAAATTTTGATTGAAGAGGAAATTGCAGAAGTGCAAATATCTTTGTGGTCTGCTTTGGAGAAAGATTTTAATTTCTGTAATTTCTTTTACAACGATTTTCGGGTGTAACACACTATTTGCCAAAATATTTTATTGAATTTTTCGAAATTTGTGCAGTAAAATGTAATGAGTTCTTTTTATACAAAAAAAGGTGGTGTTTTCTTCTTGAGTCGAATATTTTTTTCTTAAAATATTGGATTCTTTTTCATTAAAGAGAGGTTGGCTCTCATTTTCGACAACGCATTGAGCACAATATGAAATGTTGAAGAGATCAATGTCTCCTACCCGAAGTGGATACTGATTTCGTGAGACTGCAGTAACCTTTCACTAGCTCTCGAAGAAGAAACCAGGATCAAAGGGATATGTTATTCAATAATCGGAACCAGCCCGGATTTTTATCTGACCGAGGACTGTTCACTCTGCAGGATTCCGCCGCTACAACAACAGCAACTAACCAACAAACAAACCATCTTAAGCACAATATAAAATGTTTAGGAGTTCAGCGGAATGTATGGACTTATGGTTGGAGTAGATACTGTTGGTTGTGCTCGGTCAAGCAAAATAATAAAAAAAAATTTTTTTTTTAAATTTCGTCTATATCCAGGGACAAAAAAAAAAAAAAATAAATTGAAAACTTATTATTGAAATTGATATTTTGCCTCATTACTCCTATTTCTTCATAATTGTTGCGGACCCTGCTTTTATCAATAGTTGTTATTCCTATTATTATTAAGCACCCTAATATTGATTTACTTTTCTCTCGTTTCTGTATGAAGTCATTTCCTGTCATCACTCCTAGTCAAGTTCTCCACACATTTCATTCATTATATTCATAGCCAACTGAGCTGACAGATGTCGCTATTAGAGCAATTGTTCATTGCATAACTTTAGGCAGTAAACTAAGTTGTGTGACCGTTTACAATAAACAACAACACTGTTTAACAAATTAATATTTTTTTTTCGAAATAGTTATATTTTGGATTTGAAATCATGAATTTAAAACAAAATATATAATTTCTTAAAATGTTTAATGTTAATGGTATAGTTTTTAGGAATATAATACAATTTTCTTTACATTAATAATCTACATAGTATGCGTTAGTTAACGGATAAATTTATAATTAAGAATAATAAGGTATTGAAAATAGAAAAACAGATGGAAATCAATAACGAAGCAGATATGATTCAAGTATGATAATCTCTAAAACTAAGGATTTGTTTCATAGGTCCAGGAATAGTATTTACAAACTTACAGCTACTATATGGGGATACTAGTATTTGTGAGGACATGGGTCTGCCTTTAAGAATATTGTTACCTCAAGACTTCCGGTCTTAGACCAAATATCCTCTGGGTATCCAAAAAAGAAAACATACGTTTGAAGGCGAGAGACCCGCGACGTAAAAAACAACCTCAATGAAAAAGATACAGTAGCCAAGAAGTGCGGACGGGGCAGTGACTGAGACGTGAGACTCGTGGTGGCAAGAGACTCAGTCGCCGAGTTCTGGCATTCATCCCAGTTAATGACTGTCTGGTAATAATCCACATCACAATGAGATTCTTTAAGACATTGCTGAATTGCGCCTATGCTCTGACGGAATAGACGGATGTTGTAACCAAAGATAAGATGTCTTCTATAAGCGCACCCGTGAAGACTGCTTCCTCCACGATGTTAAAATCATGATAACGCCGGGGTGGGAAAAGAAGCTATTCTTGACACAACAGTCGGTAAATTCAGCCTCAAAGGCCCGTAATGTGGTTATCGGCCGTATTTCGGAATAGGAAAATTCATCAAACTACCTGGCTGCTTCTTCTACGAAAGGACCGGAGCATACTCTTGTAGAACCCTCAGAGGTGATCTAGTGACCGATGCCCAGAGCATACTAAGACTATGAAGGGAAAATTTTCCAGCTTGCTAAATGTCAGTAAAGGACTAACATCAGGAAACGGTGAACCCGATTTCTCAATCGATGAGAATGAAGCTGACGAATGGAGAAGTTCGAATAGCAATTACAGGTCTGAAAGATAACAAAGCGATGGGGGCCGAGCTATTCAAATGGAGAGGCGAACTCATATAGAGTATGCATTAGCAGGTTGGGCAAAGAAGCAAATGAGTCTGTTAGTGAACGAGGACAAGACGAAATATCTACTATTATGAAATAAACAGTCGTCACATTATCGACTTGGCTTCAAAGTCACTGTTGACAGATAGATAGATGATAACTTCGTCTATCTTGGACAAACAGGTGCTACTTCGGACTGAGTAGATAATTGAGAAAAAAATTTCTCTCTCGACGAACAGAAACCAAAGTCTATAAGCCACTCATTATCCCGTTCTACTATATGGTGCAGGGCATGGGCGATGGCTACATCTGCTGGTTCGGCGGAAGATTTATGTTCCTTTACACATTGGCAACGGCGAATATTGCAGCCGATGAAACGATGAGATGTACAATATATACGAAATCATTGACATAGTTCAGCGAATTAAGACTAGGTTATATCGTCCGAATGGATGAAAACTCTCGAACACTGAGAGTATTCGACATAGTACCCGTGGCTGGCAGCAGAGGAAGAAGAAGACCTCCACTCCGTTGGAGAGATCAGGTGGAGAAGGACTTGGCTCCACTTGGAATTTCCAATTGGCACCAAATAACGAAACGCAGGAATGACTAGCGTGTTGTTGTAAACTTCGTTGTAAAGAGGTAAGCGGTCTCTATGCCAATAGAGAAGAAGAAAAATATGAAAGAGAGTGCTATCTACCTTTTTTATATTTCTACAGGGTTTGTCCGGAAAAATCATAGGACTATCCGCTCTTCCGCCGCGATTGTACTTCGGAGCGCACCGACTGGATTCGGTAGAGGACACTCCTAATTAACGAACGAGCGGCTGATCAGTTGTCTCCGAACACCTGGAGAGTCAGGACAAACATTTTCACGCAAAGTGTTTCTGTGAGTGGTGCAAGTCGAAAGTGCAGCGTTCGTTAGATCAGAGGTTCGCAACTAAATTCTTTGTGAAACTCGATAAATCTACAACAGAGACGTTTGATATGATCAAGCAGGGTTACCCAGATGTTGATTTAGCAAGAAATGGTATTCTTCGGGCCACCTGGACTTTTTGAAGGGCCGCGAAGAGGTCGCTGATTAAGACCGTGCTGGCAGACCTGCGACTTCGACAAACACCGACAATATGACTCGTGCGCGCAAACTTAAGTTAAATTTTTCAAAATCTGTGGTTCTTGACATTGTGACGGAGTACAAAGGTGTGCACGAAGATGGTCCCAATAGTGCTCACTGAAGAACAGAAATTTCGGCGAGCTGGAGTGTGCCAAGAAAATTTTAAATTTGTGTGAAAATTACCACCAATTTTTGGATAAGGTAATCACAGGTGTGCAACCCCGGACTTTTTTTGTTTCCTTACCTGAAAACGCCGATGAAAGGGAAACGTTTTGAAACGACAGAGGGGATCCAAGCAGGATCCGCGACGCCTTCAATGCTTGGAAATCGCGCAGGCAGCGCTGCATCGCCGCAGAAGGCAAGAAATTTTTTAAATCGACTCAATCCTATTACTTTCCGGACAAACCCAGTATAATTATTTTCTATAACGTGTTCGTTTAGTAGTTTTGAATATCACTGTTATATTGGAAGTCTGTGTGGTTAAAATTATTCGGTTTCAGATGCTAAAATGCTATTTTATTATTATAATTAATTAGGATAGCTCGAAAAGTTTATTGGTTATCCTTATGAATTCTATCAGTATTACTCTTTTAATAAAATTATTATTTATTAATTTACAAATTCACAGTTTTATATTTATTTTTATATGTAATAAATAAATTAAAAATGTATTTTTTTGCACGCCAACACCAAAGGTCAGGATTATTAAAGTAAAATAAAACAACGCTATTGAGTTTGTTTTCATGTTTTTATACAATTGTGTTTATTGAAAAGTTTAATATTTAGTAGTAAATATTAATAAGCCTAGTGATTTGATTTTTTCCTCGATTAAATTAAATTTTTATAGCAAAAATAATGCCAAAACCAAAAAGGTATATATATAAGAAATAAAAAAAAAATAAAAAAAGAAAGCAATAAGGGCGCAAAAAAAGCAGCAAAGGAGCTTCTTATAAGAAACCTTAAGCTGTATTTAGATATCTTGCATACCTTCTATATAAAAATAATAATTAAAATGACTAAAAAATAAGCAGCAAAAAGCAATCAAAGCAACAGAATAAAGCAACTAAGAAATGCAGGCTCAATTCGCGCGCAGTTTAAGCCCTTGTGGTGTTGCTAGAAAAGCAAAGTAAATATACAGATTAAAGCAAAATGAATTCAAATCGATTTTAATGCACTCAACACACCACACAATCACACACATATACGCGTACAAGAACTCACATATGAAAACAGTAAGACTTACCGCACAATAAGCGGGAACACATTGTTGTCATCCGGCGCACGATAGTCTCTGTAGTAAAGGAGATATGGAGATTTGTTATTCACAAAGATCGGTGGAACACCGCCACCGGTGTTGGAGACAATCGCAATGTCGGCGCAGTTGCGGAAAGTTTCTGTGAAGAAGTAAAAATTGACTTTAATACGAGTGGAGTCCCCGCAAGCCTTTCGAACTCTTTTCAAACAGTTATAAAGACTTTTTTCTTTTGCGAATCGTTTCTATATATATATTAATAATTGCAAACAACATACCCGCCTTGCCACAGCCCACTGCCTCAGTGCCATTGGAGCAAGTACCCCACATATTGGCTGTATAGTAGGTCCATTGCAGTACACATTGCGTGCATGTAACGTATGGCGGCAGACGTACACGATAGCGGAATATCTCCTTTTTGGGTGCGTCACGTGGTATCAAGAAGCGATGTTCCCGACTACCCGAAATGTACAGTGGGTAACGGTCGAAGCAAGCTTGTGAAGCCTCGCG